TTCCCCTAAAATTTCAGCTTTCTAGCTTCTCAGAACCCCAAGTTATGAATTTGCGCGGGAAAAATTCTGGGGGGCCCGTACGCGGGGTACCATGCCTACCCGGGGGCTGGATTTGAGTTCATTAGCACCTGCTTGGACGGGGAATATTCCCCTAAAGTTTGAGCTCTCCAGCTTTTCTGGTTCGCGAGTTATCAGCTTCCCCGTAAAAAACTTTGGCGGGGTCTTACGGGGGTACCGCGCAGGAAAGACCGCCCATTTTGGGGATAGGGGCCCTTACGTGCATGTAGATTAAGTCCCCAAAGTTTCAACCCCGTACCTTTTGTCGGTCTCGAGATGAAAAATCGGTACAGAGGCCCAGCGCACACACAGACACAGACACACACACACACAAACGCACACACAGACACACACACACAGACAACCTCTCGTCAGTATGCGTTTTTCGCATTGCATTGCTGCAAAAAACGCATAAAAAATGCGTTGTGGTGGACATCGTATATATGTAGAATACTTCAGAACTACGAGGACTAAAAAGTCAAAATCCTGGCGACATGCCCACCAGGCTTCTTGAAACTTAGTTTTAGATCAATCTGTTTACTGAAGTTACAACTTTATGACTGAGTCCGAGCTATTTTTGTAACTCGAAAACGTAGGAACTGCAAACTTTTCGAAGTTTTTGGATCTAGTTTTCAGCTTGATTAGAGTTAAATAGCTTGAAATCAGATTCTAGATCCAGATCTCTTGGATGTGAGTCATTATCTTTTTTTATGTTCTTTGCCTGCAGTTCAGTAAAAAATCTAGGTAGCAATGTGCATGGGGATTACGGTATGTCCTGCGTCTTTGCGCTAAACATACAGCAGTCAAATTGTTAAAAGTGTGAATGATCACTGCTTTGCAGTTTAACATGTGCACTCATATTGGCTGTGTTTCCGGCTGAATAGAACGCCTTTTTTTTCCAGAACCAGTGCTGATTCATCGGACTCGGCATTCCCCTCTGACCCTTGTCAGTCACCAAGCCCATCCTCGGTACCGCCAATATGCCCCCCTGCAGCACCACCGCCACCACCACCATCATCCATGCAGCTCGGCATTCACGGCGGCCGAATACCGATCATTGCTGAAACGGACAAAAAGATACCGAAGTCTGCAATGCCACTCAAGACACTCAACTGGACAACGGTACCCAGGGAAAGAATTTTTGGGACAATTTGGGAAAATATTGACGAGGAAAAACTTTATCAGCAGGTACGATCTTTTCGGCTTTCAACATTTCATGTAGTTACTGTCACATTCAGCTTTTGGTTGCGAGGAGTTCACTCCATACCTGGTGCCTTCAGTAAGCAGAGAGAAAAGAAAAAACACTGTTCAAGACATAAGCGATCTTGTACAATAAATAGCAATCGGCAGCAGAGAGTTGATGTAGCTTTGCATTTACAATAAGCTGTTGCATGTTTGCAAGTTGAGCTCGACAGAACATAGTTTCTTTTACCTTACCACGATGGTTTTTGATCTGCTCGTTAAAATGTAATGTAATGCATGGTGAGATGAAAGATTTGGGGTAGCAGTGCGCATGATATGACTATACTGTCAAGACATCAAGATATGAAGCCCAAACTTCTACATTCCATGTTTTGCAAGTAGAAGAAACTGATTGCTAATTTTGCATTTCTAGATTCGTATAGAATTAAAGGCGGCGTTATTAAGATTCGTGACTGTGGAATTATATTCTCAGAACAGTGAGGCACTCGCGGCAAAAACAAGTATCGGTGTAGCCAAAATGTGTTTTATGATAATTCGTAAAAAATGCAAAAAAGAAGCGTAAGTGAAGTCTGTCGTAAGTTACGCTCCCCAGACTATTTCTTCAGAGTGATGACTATCCAGCACTCTGACAGAGAAGGGGGGAAACTATAGACAAAGGTGAACTTGTAAAAGAAGATGTGACAAGGCTAACAGTCTTAGTGGGACGTCAGTCAGAAAAGGCAAAAATACATGAGGAGACTGTTTCCTCACAACAATTCAGAATGACGCTCTGGTATACGGATCTGTTACTTTGCGACTAAAAATAGGAGAGGCATTGGAGAGGAGAGACTTGAAACTGCCAGTAACTGTCCCTGTCTGTGCCGCTGACCAGAACTGTTCCCTTTTTGTATGTCGATGCTCCAAACAATGCTTATATGTAGCTCGACCTGAAAGACGTCTCGCAACATTTTGCAATTGGCAAGGCGTCGTTCGATGAGACGGAAACGTTCAATGAGACAATACGACATCGATTTGGTACCACCGAAACTGCAATTTCCGTCATTGAGCCACGACGTGCACAAAACTGCACCATAATGTTATCAAAGCTGCGACTGTCGAATAAACAAATCAAGCGGGCGATTTTGTCCATGGACCAGTACGGTGAACTGCCAAGGGATATGATCGAGCAGGCAAGGCTTTTCTACTTGAAATTCGTCAAAATTTGAAATGCGGAACACTAGTGGCTACCAGCTTCTTTAAAAAAAAGCGTGAGGAAAGTGCAACATCCGTCTAGAAGAACAATAAGAAAAGGTTATGGAAAAAAAATCAGACAGGAAGAACAAGAAAGTGCAGAATTCTGTTGCTTACCAAAAAATGAGCTGTGAACGCTGTTAAGTTGAAAACCAAAGAATAGGGCTCGGTAAAGCTTAGAAAGCTATGCCCAGAAATAGAACCAGTGAGTCATTTTAGCTAAAAAGATGTGCCATTTTCGCCAAAAAGTGCAAGAGAAACTTAACTCAAATGACCCATTTTCCCTGCTAGTTGGGCATATTATTGGTTATCGCTTCCCTCAGTATATTAATAACTCAGGCAGGAACGCACCAAGCGGGCCGATGCGATCATGCGTTTTTGCACTTCTCATGCCGTAGAAAAATCGCAAGGAATTGCAGTAGTTAGCCCTTTGACGTACTGGCCCTCAAAGTTCGGGAATTTAATTGTATAGCTATGTAGTGTGTCAGTTGTGGACGTCGACTTCAGTGACCTGACAAATGGAAAGTTGCTGGTCAGCGAAAAAGGTTGCAGCAGAAGAGTTAAATTTGAAATCTAATCGCACATGAATAGGGGACATTCCCTTAGAATTAAAGCCTTCCAGATTTTCTAGTTCCCGAGTTAGCAGTTTTCCCATCAAAATTTTCACGTGTCCGTACATGAGTATCGGACGGCTCTAAGGAGCTGAATCTGAAATCTTTTGGTCGTACATAAGTAGGGAACATCCCCCAAAGTTTCAGCTTTCTGGACTTCCTCGTTTCCGAGTTAGTGATTTTCCCGCCAAATTTCCATGTCGCCGTACGTTGGTACCAGGCGCTGCTAAACAGCTTGTTTCGGTCGTGCATGAGTAGGGAACATTCCCCTAAAGTTTTGGCTTCCTAGCTTTTCTCGTTCTCGAGTTAGCAATGTTCCCGCCAAAACTTGCAAGTGTCCGTAATTGGGTCCGAGCTCTCCCAAACAACTGATTTTGGTCATAAATAAGTAGGAAACATTCCCCTAAAGTTTCAGCTTTCTAGGTTTTCTCGTTTCCGAGTTAGCGACTTACGCGTCAAAATTCCCACGTATCCGTACGCTGGTACCAGGCGTTTTTAAACAGCTGATTTTGGTCGTACATGAGTAGGGAACATTCCTCTAACGTTTCGGCTTTCTTGCTTTTTTTGTCCCCGGATTAGTGATTTTTCCCGCCAAAATTTCCACGTGCTCGTACGTGAGTCCCGGACAATCCTAAGCAGCTGAATCCGAAAACTTCTAGTCGTGCATGAGCAGGGAACATTTTCCTAAAATTTCAGTTTTCTAGCTTTTCTCCTACCCGAGTTAGCACCTTTCTCGCCAAGATTTTCACGTGTCCGTACTTGAGCCCCGGGCGGTTCTGAGGAGCTGAGTTTGAAAACTTTTGGTCGTACATGAGTAGGGAGCATTCCAACAGAGTTTCAACTTTTTAGCTTTTCCCACTCCCGAGTTATGAATTTTCCAGCCATAATTTTCACGTGCCCGTACGTAAGCCCCGAGCAATCCTAGGCAGCTGAATTTGAAATCTTTTTGTTATACAGGGGTTGGGAACATTACCCTAAGGCCCCAGCTTTCTAGTTTTTCTAGTTGCCGAGTTAGCAATTTTCCCGCCAAAACTTTCAGGTGCTCGTACGCGGGGCCTAGACGTGTGTGAGGTTGACACCGCTGTCCTGGGGGGCACTTGGTCGGGGAACACACCGGCAGAATTTCAGCTTGGTTGGCGGGTTGAAATACCGGGATAGAAAAACACACACACACACACACTGACAGGGTCGTTGCAATATGCGTTTTTGCTGCCTGTTGTAGCGCTCTAGCGCTACACGGCAAAAACGCATAAAAATTTCCAGCTGCGCTGGTTCCGCATCCCTCCGAAAATATCTCGTTCGATATGTTTTAAACGGCTTCTGCTCTTGCTGCAAATTTTGCTTTCAGATGTTAAAATTTATGCCGACTAAAGACGAAACTCAAAAACTGCGAGAAACCGTGGAAAAATATAAAACAGCAAGCATACTGCCGATTGCTGATCGATTCCTTTATGAAATCAGCAAGTAATTTAAATTTCTTACTGGCAATCAAAAAATTTTCTTCAAAAATTATAGCAGCCTGAACTGATACCTCATGACATGCAGGGTTTCTAAGCTCGTCTACCTTATCACAGTTTTTAGTTTCATGTAATGCTTGTCTCGCAATAACCCTGTAACTCCATTCAGCTACTTGCATTTGCATACACAAATGAATTGATATTTGAAGCATAAAACTTGTAGATTTAGCTCTTATACATGGCCGAAAGCTCATTAAAGTTACAAAAGTGACAGCTAGTTTTGAACCGAGTGGGACAAGGATTAGCTGCGTAAAGAAACTGGGTTTTCTAGCTTGTCTGATCAAGGATTTAAATCATTGGCGACGCGCACTGGGCGCGCTCGTGCGATTATGCGTTTTTGCAGTGTTTCGTGCTGCATTAAGATCACTCGAAATTCAGCTAGCTAGAAACCTCTTGTACATGCTGGTCTTCGAATTTCGGGAAGCTAATTATCGATGCTACACTTGGATAGGGAACATTACCTTGAAATCCCAGGTTCCCAGCTTTCTCAGCTCCCGAGTTACAGCCAGAAAATTTCACGGGGCCGTACGTGGCAATCACGCATAAGGAGGGGGGAGGGGCTGAATTTTATAAATTCAAACTGTAGATGAGTTGGGAACATTTCATGGAAGTTCCAGCCTCTCAACTTTCTTGGGTCTCGAGCTAGCGATTTTCGCGTCAGGAACCCTCACGGGGATGTACGCGGGAAACGCGCACACCTGGGGATTGAATTTAAAATTTTAGAGTTTTATATGGACGGGAAGCAAAATCCCAAAACTTTAGCTTTCTAGCTTTCCAGGTTACTAACTTGGCGATTTCCCCGCCAAAACCTTGACCCCCTCTTACACATGCCCAGACTTGCGTGAGGGTTGGTACCGCGGTTCTGCGGTGGCACTTGGCCGGGGAACCCACTCGCAAAATTTTGGCGCCGGAGCTTGCTTGGGTGCCGAGTTGAAATAGCCGGACAGATGCGCACACACACACATACACACACACACACACACACACACACACTGGAGTCGTCACAATATGTGTTTTTGCATATTTGCAAAAACGCATAAAAATTGTCAAACATGAAGACCAGTATATAGGCAGTGTTTTGCTACAATTCATCCCAGCATTTGCGCAGATGTAGGGGAAGCATAAAAACACAGTGGCAAATTTGCATATTTAACGGTCAAAAACTTCTAACCGAAATGACAGTTTTTAGCATTCTAAGATATGAGCAACGGCTGCGCTGTTTGCATATTATCAGCACATTTCGAGAACGAATTGATGATGTTTCCCGTTCGATCGAAGGTGAGGGGCACTGCTTTCAAATGATTCCATGCAGTTTGATGCAAAACTGCTGCAACTGGCTTGCACAGGGCATCCTTGAAAACTGCATGCTTTTATTTGCATGAAATTAATATTGTATGTTATCCCTGTGATGATATTATTTGGTGACATTTTTCAGTGATAACAAGTGCATCGATAGCCGTAACGAGCAGTAACCGTTTAAAACAACTCCTGCGCCTGATTCTAGCACTAGGCAACTTTCTAAATCGCGGCAAACGCAGTGGAAATGCATATGGTACTGCATTATTTAATTTTTTGCATTTTTTTCCTTTCTAATTATATTTTAAACATTGATATGATTACTGTCGACCGAATTTCTTCAGCTTCTAAAAACATTCCGATATTACAAGATTTTGACACATCGCTGACAAGCACAGCGATGTCGTGCACTCAGCTCACCTGGAAAGATCGTTGAGAATGCACTTATAAATAAGTGGCTCACGAGTCCCAACTGCAGAAGAAAGCAGAATTCGCTGCGTAGGATACGTTGCGCAAAATACTCTACTCATTTCGTTTACAGCTGTTGGTTTTCATACATAACTAAGTGGGAATGTATACGAACGCTCAGCCAGCCTTTGAAAAACTGATACATTATAGCATACGTATTGGTAGTAATAACTCAGGCTGGAACGCACCAGGCGAGCCGGTGCGATCATGCGTTTTTGCACCAAACTTGAAGTAATTAGGTAAACTGCATGAAAGGTTGCTCAATACCGTAAATCATCGTAAATTTTGCATAAAAGGAAATAAATAATTTCCGTTTGGCGGTCGTTTTTTGAAAACGACCCAGCCGTTCATGGAGTAATTTTCCCGCCAAAAATTTAAGTGCCCGTACACGAGAACCACGCACGTCTGAGGGCTGAATTTGATAACTAAAGTCGTATATGGGCTGTGAACATCTCCTGAAAATTTCAGTCTCCCAGCACTGCTGGTTTCCGAGTTAGTCATTTTCCCGCCAAAAAATCTCACAGGACCGGAAGTGAGAACCATGCACGACTGGGGGCTGAATTTGATAACTTTAAGCCGTACGTGAGCTGAGAACATTTCCTGAAATTTCAGCCTCCCAGCTTTGCTAGTTCCCGAGTTTGCCACTTTCCCGCCGGAAAATCCCACGGGACCGTACGCGGGAACAACGCATACTTGGGGGCTGAATTTGAAAACACTGAGTTATATTTGGACAGGGAACATAACCCCAAAATTTCAGCTTTCTATCTTTTCTCGTTCCCGAGTTATCAATTTTCCCGCCAAAACCTTCACCCTCTCGCACGCAGGGCCCAGACGTGCGCGAGGAATGGTACCGGAGTTCTGAGGTGGTACTTGGCCGGGGTCCCCATTAGCAAAATCTCGACGCTGAAACTTGCTTGGTTGCCGAGTTGAAATACCCGGACAGACGAA